GACCCATAGTTACTTTTGAGGATCTTCATAGAAACACTTTCTGAGTCGATTTGTACATGCCAGACCGTCCATGTATTCCTGTGAACAAAATGCAGGTCGCATTTATTATTTGTTTGGCAGATTTGGATATAGCTTCCATATATATCCTCAACCGGTTTCGGGTTAATTGTGCACCAAATGGCCAATATCAGTCCAAATGACCTGCATTTTGGCATATCCGACCAAATTCAAACTAGACAAAAGTACATTAGAAAATCGGTTCAGATATAGCTATAGCTCCCATATATATGTTTCATTTGACTTAGTGTTTAAGTTCCTGACATTTGTAATATGCATTCGACAACAATGATATTTGATGCCAGTTATCAGATACAGCTCAAAAATACCTCTGCCAAATTTTGTCAAGATTAGTTCAAATTTGAATAAGGTCCCATATATATCTTCAACCGATTTCGAGTTAATATCTATTCAAAAGTCCTGAATTTTGGTACATCCAACCGAATTCAGTCTAGAAGCAAGTACATCGAATTCGGAGAAAATCGGTTCAAATGTAGCTATATATATGTTTTTATCCGATTTGATCTTTAAGTCCCTCAAATTCTTAATATGCATTCGACAACAATGATGTTTGGCACCAGATATCTTATAAAGCTCGGAAATACCTTTGATGAGTGTTATCGATAACTGCATTGGTATTTACGACTGAATTCATCCTATAAACTCATACTTCAAATTTGTAAATCGGTTCAGATATAGCTATAGCTCCTATATATGTTTTATCCAATTTGGAGCTTAAAGACCCTCACAAGCGTATTGTGCATTCGACATCGATGATTTTTGGTACCAAATATCAGATACAGCCCGGAAATATCTATACCAAATTTTATCAAGATCGGTTCAGATTTGGATATAGGTCCCATATACATCTTCAACCGATTTCGGGTTACTTGTGCACCAAAGGGCAAAAAATCAGAAACGAGCACGATATTACTTCCGAGTTCGGTCCGAAATAGAGTTCGGACAAAAGTCAGCAAAAACTTCAGACTTTTATTCCACCCTTCGCCGACAACACGCCAACCACTCCATATAACTTTCGATCGGAAGTCGGACCGAATTCGCATTTGAAATCTGAAGTTTCTTCCGACCGAAGACGGACCGCACTCAGACAGTTTGGTTCGCTGGGTTCGCCTAATACCAATATACACTATATTATCCTATTATGTTAAAGTATAATACACTAACTGCACTATAATATATACAACACATTATACATTATATTTACTATATATAATACACGAAGTGCAATCTGGACTTGGGCTAATTATTAAAACCCACCTGTAATGAACAAAATGTGCATCAATAGTCCATGAATTCTTTCTTCACTTTAAATATTCTTGTGCAACTGTTTTATATATGTTACAAAAAATCATTACAACGATTTTTCATTTACTTGTAATTCAACAAATATGATGATAAACGCCCCACCGATTCTCTCTTCTGTTTCAACGGACAACAATTTTCTTTTGCTTTTACCTGGTTAATTACAATTGAAATTCTTGGTAATAATTTAAATGTGCACTCCTCATTATTAACCAATTGCATATTGGCTGGCTGGCAGTCACTGGGCATGACAGTAACACTAGCCAGAAACAACATGCCATACATTAAATATGCAATAATTGCATTTTTACCAGAATGTCATACGCACACATACACAGGCTTAGGTCTTCATTTCATTCTATCTACGGAGAGTTGGACAACAACTCCTTACTTCGATATGGTCTTTTTCCCAATAAATATTGTTCTGAGAATTGACATTTCCGCTTGAGTTCGTTCATTTGTTCCTTTGAGTGTCTTCCAGACCATTGGCAGTGCCAAGTGCCATCTTCTAGCGGCAAACAATCGTGGGCCACATCGTAAGTCCCCCAAAATACTTGTGTGCCTCAGACGGCCTTCTTACATTCTTTGTGCGGCATTGTGTATGCATTGGAAACCGGGGGATTGCCATTAATATGGACACATGTTCGGTGGTACAATGTGTGGCCATAAATTTTTAGCTAGTAATGCATAATTTACTCATCTTTTTGGTTACAACACACAGAAGTATCCGAATGCTAAGTGGAAACGTCTCCAGGCATTCTCAGAAAGCTGGCTACCTATAACTATATTATTATGTTTAAATCGGTATGGTTATGCATCGGCTACCGTCTCCTTATCAGGCCGTAAAGGAAGTTATGTCATAAGTAATGGTAGGTATTTTCACATGAGGAGTAGAACATGAATATGAACATAATTTAATGTCACCATGAGAAGACGACTCTCTCAGAACAATGGCTAATAAAGTTGTTGGAGACAAATGCTCTCAGACTTTTATGGGAACTAATGTTCGAGTGACTTTTAAACATGGAACACTTCCCAAAAGGGTGATATGACATGGATTTGATACATAAGATTGCAACAGTTAGGATTTGATGGCAAGACTTTAATCGTCTTTCGGTAATTAAAAAGTGAAAACAGTCAATAGTCAGTCACTGTAAAAAAATTAAAAATATTTTTCAAATTACCGTTAATAACGCTATGCAACACAATAAATAATTACCAAAAAAACATCAAGGAGATAATGAAAGTAGAATTCAAAATAAAAGACACATGTATCGGCGTTTTGAAAAATTACATCGGAAAGTAACGTAAATGGAGGCGGCATTTTCCCCCACTTTTTTCATTTTTTAATAAGTTTCGAAAAAAAAAAATTCTTCAAATCCTTGAATTTTAGGTATGAGCTGAAAGTGTTAAGGGAAGAAATATTCTACACAAAATGTATATCTATCTATATCTATAAAATATTTCTGAAGTGAAACAAATAAAGTTTCGGAAAAAGGTTGATAATTTTCAAAAATAATTCCGTCGTAAAATACCGCTCAAATTTTTGTCATAGGCTGTAGTAACCATTCCGAACTTCAAATACGAAATTCGAAACAATTCCGGTGAATAATGTCGCTAATATCATCAAAATACCGAATTAAGGGAGGTACCGTTGTATGTGATATATACTAAGACGTGCTCCTGCATAGATAATTTTCTATCATACCACTACGAACTTCAAATACCAAATTTGACGCAACTCGGTGAATAATGTCGCGAAAATCCTGGAAATTCCGAATATTTCGGAGTTCCGTTTATGGGTGCTACACTAAACCGTAGACCTATATAGACAATTCTCTTCCAGGGTCAGAGGGAATACTTTGTAAAATCATCAAAATATCGAATGTCGGAAGGTACATTTATATGGGGGCTACACGATATCGTTGACCTACGAAGAACCCCTTGTGTAGAACCTCAGACAATTCCATTGAAAAATGTTGTTAAAATCATCAAAATAATGAATATCGGGGGTACTGTTGCACGGGGGCTATACGATATCGTGGACTGATATAGCCCATATTCGAACTTGACCTGCCTGCAGACAAAGGATATATCGGTGCAAAATGTTAGCTTCCTATCTTTATTGATTTTGTCTCTAGCGTGATTAAAACAGACGGACAGGCGGACGGACGAACAGGGCTAAATCTCCTTCGAATTTTCCGCTGATCAAGTACACATATATTTTGTTAGGTCTAAAATTATTATTTCGATGAGTTAAAAACGGAATGACGAACTTAATATACCCCACATATTGTGTATGGTGGAGGGTATAAAAACGCGTTCGCCGCTTTAGAAAAGATTTTTAAAAAACCACATTTAATGCTACAGTAAAAAATATTTAAAACTAGCAAGTGCCCGCTATTTTGTCAGATAAAAGTCCACCATAAAATATTAGAGTCTTTCCAAATGTTTATGTACTCAAAAAGCACAAATTCAGTTTGAAAAAAATCAAAACTGCATCGTACTAAATTTTCAAAGTTTCAAGGTTTTATATATTAATATATGTTTTTCCTTTTTCGGGAAAAAATAATAGGAAAATGTTTACCTTTTACACAAAATGTCTTCAAAAGCTTTTATTTTGATGTTTAGCGACTATGTTATTAGTAGAACCACTGAACAATGGGCCCACATCAATTTTTTCGGCCCAAAACTGTTTCAAAGTGTCCACATATAAACCCTAGAAACCGATTATGACTACAATATCAAATTTCAGTAGCCCATACCAAATTTGGTAGCTTTTAGTAAGCATATCCAAAATAATTTACATCTCTCCATCCGAGACACCAACAGTGATCCAAAATTAGTTAAATTTTTTCAACAATTTTCAACTTTTTGAACAATTATGGTACAAATTTGCAAAACCACCACCATATCTCAATCTCAGATACTAACAGAAAACTCAAGATCAAATTTCAGGATTCAAACTCTATTCATTTACATAACGCAAATTTAATTTCATTTAGTACTTTTGATACTGTTATAGTACGCATTTTCAAAGCTTCCTCCATATTTCAAGCCCAGATTCTAACCGAGACCTTAATATCGCATTTCGAAATTCCTACTCTATCCCATTACTCAATATGTAATTTAGTACCATTTAGTACTTTTCGTACAATTATACTAAACATTTCCGAAATCACCTCCATATGTCCAGGCTACACTATCACGATTTATTTTATGTACTATGTAGTGCTTTTTTTTTTTTAAATTGTAGCACACATTTCCGAAACTGTCTCTTTATCATAAACCAACCACCAACGGAGACCTCAATGCAACATTTAAAAAATTCGCACACTTAATACACAAATCCAAAACCACCTTCAACCGAACCTGTTTAATACTCTAAAAGTCCTTGCAAAAATATTAAACAATGCTTTTTAAACTCGATGCTTATCCTATGTCAATCACCCTTAAATTAAAAATCCACTTTAAATGCTCAGTTCATATTTCTAAAAACTATTTTAATTAGAGGGAGTCATGACTCCTAAAAAAAATTTTTTTTGGTTTGATTTGGTTTTCATATCATATTTTCAATTTTCAAAATATTTAAATTTTTTCCATTCTATTTTTCTTTTCAGTTACAAAATGTATACGACTACAAACCAATAGTGGAACTCAATACCATAATACCAGTGAATTTAAAGTCAATATTAAAACAAATTTGTTTTTTTTTACAAAAGCCGTTTTTTGTAATCTTAAAAAGAGGTAACCAACAAAAATCCACCTAAATGTCCGACGAAGTGCCTTCGGGAAGATTATCTCAAAATTTTGATCCGCTTACCAACTTGCAGCAGCCGGGCAGCACTCATCACCATCAGTAGCAGCATTATTACCAGCAGCAGCAACAACAACAGCACAGCCTGCTAAGAAGAAGATGAAATTCCTCCTCTCCATCACCCTCAACATCGGGTCGGGCAACACCAGCTTCATTGGGTGCTGCTAGTGTGGGCAGTGCTGGAAGTAGCGGTAGTTCACATCACCATGATCAACAGCAGCAGCAGCAACATCAGGCATTCCAAGACCAGTACCAGTATTTAATTCAAGCACATAATTACTTTCTGCGTTCTCAATATTCTGGGCCGGGAGCAAATCAAAGTCATTATTTTTAGCAGCAACAGCATTATCAAGGGCAATATATCACACATCATCATCATCAACAGGGGCATTTGATGATCATGACAGGGGCATTGCAACATCAACAACAACAACAGCATTCGTTTCCAACCCTATATGACACTTCGCATATTTTGAATTCTTCTCCATTGCTTACCAAATGGGTCATCTCCTTTAGCGGCCTCTAAGTCGCAGCAAATGGAATTGAACCTGGACAGTCCTGCAGCTGCCTTCCAACGTAGCCAAGCTACAGTCCAATCGACACCAAATAGTCCATGTTTAATGCCTCGGCGGACCCAAAAACCACCTCCCTTACCGGCTAAGCCCACCAGCAGCGGCGCAGCGGTATCGCAAGCCGTTCCCATTGCCTCAAACCAAAATGTAACGTTAAAATATCAACAATCACAACGACAACAGCAAGTGAATCCAGCTGCATCACTGGATGCTCCATGGCTTCATTTTTCATCGTTGACGGAAAATTTGGATGATCATCAGGTCAATAATTATACGCAGGATGTACCGGAGGTAGGCTTGATAATTCCGCGAAAGCAATGATTAGGGTGAGCGCTGCTTGGAGCTTCAATTGGAATTACATCGTTCAAAGAATCAAGTTGGCCGTATACGAGACATGTTAAGAGAAAAGGTGAGTATAACCGAAATATTTTCAATGGAATGAATTTATTAGAAGTAAGTGTCATTTTTCGATGATAAATTTGTTCCGCCGAAGGCTGGGTTTAGATTAAAATAATCGTTGGGAGTATTTTATGAATATAAAATTATAGAATATTATAGATATTACTCTACACACCAAACAGTTGTGAGAAAAAAATAAGAAATAGGTCGGCATCTGGAAAAATTTATTTTGGTAGTCTGGTACAACATTAATTTAATACTCTCCAAACAAAGATGAGAATCCAGAAGAACTTTAAGGGTGCTGAATCAACGAGAACCTCAAGGCTCTCCACAATAGGAAAACAAGAAATTCATTGATAATAATCATTGACTAGAAACCATCGACTTACACAGATCTTGTTTCAGGATTAGCATCCATTTTTCAGTTTCATTAGCTATGTAATGTCTTGTAGTCAAATTCTGAATTGCAGCATTCGGCATTCGTCGTCTTTGGGGTTACTAGCGAAATACGCAGTGAAAGGATTGAATCCAATTCAGAAGCATTAGAGCAGAAAATGTGTCATACTGGTCTACTTTGTAAGGATAACTCCCATTTAAAGTGTTTCTTAAGTTGTAGACATGTTTTCCACATACTTTCTCCAAATGTTGACCTTTTGACTTCTTTTTGTACAGCCTTTATTTATTCCGAGATTTTATTTATTGTGGAGGTCGTGCCATATTTTTCTATTTTGGGACCTTCGTGGATATAAATGTTTAATAATAAAATATATATAAGAAAAAAGAATCAAATAAACCCCGAATGACGCCTAGAAGGTCAAATAGAAAAAATCCGGGGAAAATTGATAAAAAGAAATTTGAAATATTTTCGGTTTTATTTTATGGAACATTCACATATGATTGGAATAGAGATTTCTTTTCTTTGGTGACGTACAGTAAAATTTGATGAAGAATATTTTTGTCTTTAATGTCATGATGCTTCATGTAATGTGGAGACTTCACTTAGACACTTCCTGGGAGGCACGCTCTCGAGAGGACTTATGCAGAAAAATATTCAAATATATATTCAAAATAAATATTCAAAAATTTGTTATGTCAAATGGATTGGTTGGTTTTTTATCTTTCATAGTCATAAAAGCTTCGATGGCGTTACGTTGACATGATCCAATACGGTATCTCCCTTATTTATCTTGACCTTTTATTTAGATGGTATTCAAATAGAAAACCATGTATGACGATAGTCTGCATTACATAAAATTCTATGTCGATTTAGTAATTTCCGTCCGTCTGTGAAAATGACTCCAACTTCTGAACGAAATAAAGTAGGTTGATACAATTTTATTTAGAGGCTTGCTAGTTCTAAGGAACTTTTGGGTATAGGCCCCGTAAATTGGCAGCATGTGTTCCCATTATATAAGAAACATCCTTGAATTGTCAATATAAGTATACGTTTTGGTATAGTCCTCATATAACTGTTCCCCCTGATATTCGGTATTAAATTTGTCATTCCGTTTGTAACACCTCGAAACATACATTTTAGACCCTGAAAAGTATATATATTCTCTATCAACATTAAATTATGTGTCGATTTAACTATGTCTGTCCTTATGTTTGTCCGTCCGTCTGTCCGTCTTTGGAAATCACTCTAGCTTCCGAACAAATTAAAGTAGGTAAATACATTTTAACTCAGATGTGTGTTTGGTCTGCAGGACTTGTGGTATTGACTTATTTCGGCATAGCCTCCAAATGCCTATACTTCCCTATATTTGGTATTTTGATGATATTAGCAACATTATCCACCGGAATTGTTTTAAATTTCCTATTTGTTTTATTTATTTATCTATTTATTTTTAATATTTTTTTTTTTTTGGAAATTTGCAAATTTCTTCCAAATGGTGGAGTATATTCGAAGATCGGCATGGACGCACAAACTGCTATTTTACTTCATAACTTTCTTATGCATTTTCTGCACCTTACGATCCACTATTTCCTTTGTCCTAATTTGTATTTCGTTTACTGTTATATTTCTAATATTTTTTGTTCGCATAATATTCATAAATGAGTGAATGACATGCGTCTGTGCTTCCGTTTCCGCTTTTGTGAAACTTTATATTATACTAGCTGAACCCGGTGCGCTTCGCTACCCCTTTTGATTTTATATGCATTCAAAATTTTATTTACGAATATATGTTGGTTAAAAAAAAAACAATTTTAAAAATTAAAAAAAAAAATTATTGCACTACTTTAATGCGTAAATAACCAAAACCATTAGAAAAGCAGTAACATGACATACATACACGAAGGGTTTGTCCTTCGGATTTATTTATTTCATAGCAAATACCAAGCGTGCAGTAAACTGCAATCTTTTGAAGTTGAGTGGCATTTCTATTGCAATTAGTGAATTCGAGATAGCAACATACTTCGCCGTAATAAGCGTATTTCAAATTAATTGTTGTGTTGTTTTTTAGTGTTAGCATAAGGCCTTGTGGGTCAATGGTTCTTATTAAAATCATATCCCAATCTGACCCGATTTAAATATAATTTTAAAAAAATTACTTTTACACCAAAATCCGCCACACCTTTCATATTTCATTGAAAATGGTGCGTCAAATATGTGAAATCGGCCGAAAATATATATATGGGAGCTATATCCAAATCTTAACTAATTTCCAATTTATTTGTCACATTTATTATTGTAACCAAATTCCGCCACACATTCTGAATTTCATTGGTATCGGTCATATATATCATGTTTGGTGCATAACGTGTATGAAATCGGCCGAAATATATATATGTTAGCTATACCCAAACCTCAATTGATTTCAATATAATTTGGCAACTTTTTCTGGTGCCAGATTTTGTCTCTCTCGCTTTGGGTGCATCAAATATGTGAAATCGGCTGAGTATATATATAGGAGCTATAATCAAATCCGAGCGTATTTGAATATAATTTGTCAAATTTATTTTTGTACCAAATTTAGCAACTCATGCCGAATTTCATTGGAATCGGAAATACGTATCGTATTTTGTGCATCAAATATGTGAAATCGCGGAAAATATATATGGGAGCTATATCCGAATCTGAATCGATTTTAATATAATTTGACTAATTTTTTTTTTAATCAAAATCCCGTTACATATTCCAAATTTCTTTGGAATCGAACATACATATCGTGCATGGTGCATAAAATACATGAAATCGGTCGAAAATATATATGAGAGCTATATCCAAATCTGAACCGATTTTAATATAATTTGACAAATGTATATTTGTTTTAATTTCCGCTACACATTCCAAATTTCATTGAAATTAGAGTTTGGTGCATCAAATACATGAAATCGGTCGAAAATATATATGGGAGCTATATCCAAATCTGAACCGATTTCAATATAATTTGACAAATTTATTTTCGGATTAAATCCCGTCACGCATTCCAAATTTCATTGGAATCGAACATTCATATTGTGTTTGAGGCATCAAATGAACGAAATCGGTCGAAAATATATATGGGAGCTATATCCAAATCTGAACCGATTTCAATTTAATTTGACAAATTCATTTTGGCTCCCAATTCCGTTACTTATTTTAAATTTCATTACAATTGGAAATACATATCGTGTTTGGTCCACCAAATACATGAAATCGGCCGAAAATGTATATGGGAGCTATATCCAAATCTGAACCGATTTCAATATAATTTGACAAATTTATTTTCGGATTAAATCCCGTCACACATTCCAAATTTCATTGGAATCGAACATTCATATTGTGTTTGAGGCATCAAATGAACGAAATCGGTCGAAAATATATATGGGAGCTATATCCAAATCTGAACCGATTACAATATAATTTGGCAAACTTATTTTTGTTCCAAATTCCGTTACGTATTCCAAATTTGGAGACTGTATCTTCAACCAATCAATAGATATGTGCATATAAAATCTGAATTTTTGGGAGGTACCTCCGATTCTGATGCTATATCTCCAGTTCCAAGTGGAAATTCAGAAATGTATATAGCCTATGTTACTTTCAGGCGATGTTGCAGTATATATGGAAATTTTCAGGAAAATCTATTCAGCGGTTTTCGAGTCCATAAATTACAAACAAACAAACAAACAAACAAACAAACAAACAAACATACAAACATTTTCCTCTTTTATAGATATAGATTCTCATCACTCTGATGACTATTTCCTCTTCAGTTTTTTTTCGCATTTATCTTTTGCTATTGTATCGGAAGTTTTGCGAATTTATGCTTATATTGAAAATATTTTTTATCGTTCGTTAGTACGATACAAAATTCTCATTCGCCAGAATTCTCGAAGACAATAGCAAACATGGTACACTGACAATTGGTAAAACTCCTGAAATATGTATATGTGCCTATGAATGCAACAGGGTTTCATATTAAGGTATTTGTGGATAGTAGCAATGGCGATGGGAAGAAAAATAGGGTCGCATACGTCATGTTGAGTTTGTTGATATGCATGCAAAATTATAAAATATAAGTCTCTGCGTATATGTGACATTCATTTTTAAAGTTATATGTCATTAACTCAACGCCATATACCATTTTTGTGTCAGGGTATTAGGGTGGGACTCCCAAAAAAAGATCTTTTGCTCAAGACCTATGTTTTTTTAACCTGAGTAGCCAAATACAGCATTAAATAAAAATAAATGTAACAAAAAATACAAATAAAAATGCATAACTAAAATACAAAATATATATATATATATAATTTGTATATATGTATATAAGAAAACAGCAACATCAGCAGAACTGGTTCCAAAAGTAAAGAAACGACTTGATCGAAACCCGTGCCGCAGTGCCCGAAAAATGGTTCGTGAGTTAAATATATCTATCAATATTCCATTCGCCAAATATTCAAAATTGAGCTCGGGGTAAAGCCATTGAAATTCCAAAAAGTGCAAGAACTTAAATAGACTCAAAAGAGCTAAAGAATTGTTTCGTTTGGCCGAAAGTG